GCGTTTAATCGTTATTTTCAATCGGCTGAAAATCGAGGGGCTGTTTAGGCTCGCCTACGCGGAACGGGTAACGGCGGAGTGCTCGTAAGCATCCGACGCCCATCGATATTGCCTCTCGATATCGTTCGATAAAAAGCTCGATCGCGATACCGTCGGTACCACGTATCCCGCGATGTCGTTACATCCTTCGAGTTAGAAACACGAAATTGCAGGACGAGGATCGTGGAAATTATGAAGGACCACGCGGCACTTCAGCCGCCCGTATCGGTTTTCGATTTTTCGCTGCTGCGCCGCGCCGCCATACACGCTCCGCGTCCCCTAAAACACGCTATTGCCGCTCTCAAGGAAACACGCGTTAAGTGGTATTGCTCCTTCATGAGTCAGACGTCCGTACCTAAACGGGAGATGACGGTGTAATCTCTGTCGCGATGTTGACTCTTCGTTGCTAGACGGATCTTCGATGATCTCTCGCGAACACTTTTCCAAGGAGGTGGAACTTTAACTGAATGCTTTGAAGCCTTTGAATTTTCGAAAGAATTTTAGAAACTTTAGAGAATTATTGTAGGGCTAAAATAAAAACTAAGTCCGTAGACAGGTTAAATATATTTATTACGTGACGTGGCTCTAACGAGGAACTAACTGCTTTTCCTCAGCTGCTTTTCTAAACAGAACTCTTCAGACGAGGGCGTACGTGACCCAGGTTATGGTGGTCCCCTTGGCCATAAATTAGTCAATGGGCCTGGACTATCTCTCAGGCCCCCAAGTATCGACACGCAAAAGGGCGAACCGTCTACACTATGACTTTCGAGGTTAGCACTAGGTTTACGGGCGTTTATTGTACTTCATTCTATTATTCCTAAAAGAATCGATGCTCGTTTATTTAGATTGCGGAAACTGGAGTTTTGATGGTAGGTAATTGGGGTACATGTCAGTGTGATCGCATCAATAGAATCAAAAGCATTTACAAAATAACATTTCTAAAATCTAATATGCGTCAATTTGACGCGTTCCGTAAACCTAGTGTTAGTCGAATAATATCCCTTCTGCATGTCAGACATTCTCGTCCAATAAAACAGACGTTGTCTACTTTCAATTAAGATTAGCCGAATATGTTCTTCAAAATTTGCGAAGATTCTCAAACAAACATTTGCCAACAAACTGGAATTTTATTTTCGTTCAGGCTTCTGAAGTCACGTTTCTTGTTTACTATACCATTGGGACGTAACATTTCCGTCTGTATGCAGCATTGGAGACTACGCGCCACTTTGCGTCACTGTTCGAGCACCACTCATTACCCTGCACCGTTGCAATTAATGTATATCATCGCCGTGGTTATACGTGTAGCATTTTTCGCGTTACGCCGCGCAACGCATCGACGCGCCATAGGGAATCGTGTATCGGTTGCGCGGGAAATTTCGACCGGTCCGAAAGTGTTGTCGCGTGGCCGACTTTCGCACGCGGGGGAATTCCCATTCCGCGGGCAAACAATTTACAAAACAACCTGGCCGACAGCGCCGGGGACAGCTACACGGGGACGTAGCGTGGCCGGACATAAATTAAACTATCAGATTAAACCGGCGGAAACGGTGTTTTTACGTCCGTTAGTTACGCACTACCAATTATATTAACGGTGCGTTTCAATTAAGCTAATATGCGCCCGGGACGACGCGCTATTCGCCCGCCGGGAGTTAGCTCGTGTTTTCACGGGAGTAATACGCGTTACGAAAATATCCTCTCGTCGAACGGAATTGAACTAATGGCGATACGGGGAATTAAAATTATATCCGACGTTCGGCGATACCGAACGAGCTGACTAATCGTTTGTTTTCAGCGATACGCGAAATTGGCGTGTCTTCGCGGCGGTTCGAAAACTGGAATCGATTCCCGCGACGAGCATTTTAATTGGATAGCCTAAAGTTCGCGTTAGCGTTTAAAGAATCGTGAAATAGTGGAGTCCACATTGTTCGAGAGCACGGAGGAAATAGTTTCGCTCGCTGGAAAAGCCGTTCACCGAATTATTCGCTTCAGAGTTGTCACCGAACTGGGACCTTAATGTAATGTACTCCAGCCGGCACTCACCCACGAGCAATTTAGATGTTTGGCAACTTGCAGAGCGTAATTTGCGGCTCCTCTCACCAGCGCCCACGGAGAAAGCGCGCTGCCCGACATCAGCACGCTGCGATGGAACAGCAAACCTGGAATGATTAAAGAATGATATTTCAGTGGTGGTTCGGTGTTGCTGTTGTTCTTTCGACGCGTTCGCTGCTGCGATAGTCACCGATAACCGATGTTTCTAAATTGTTTGAGAATAATTCTACTATGTAAGATGATTGGTGTTCGATGAACATGTTTAACAATAGATTTACAGAGATGTATTCTATACTTCATTCTATCATTCCTAGAAGAATATATGTTTATATAGCTTGCGAAACTTAGCGTTTCAAGAACAGAGAATTACTATGAGTATTCACAAAATTGCGTCTATAAAAATCGAGAATTGTTACGAAATAATGTTTAAAAAGTTCAATATTCATTAAATTGACGAACCCCGTGAATCTAGTGTTAATAACGTAAGTTGATCATAGTGTAATGAAACGCTCGAGGTTTCCGTGGCAGTTGACGTGTTTAACAAAGGAAATTTTAATGTAGATTATGTGATATGCAAACACTAGTAGATTTTGACCGTTCTAATATACGAGGAATTTCAAAATGCAAGATGTAGTAGGCAAACGGTAGTACAATAGTCAGATGCACGCATATTTCACTGAAGTCAGACAGTTTAACGGATCCTGCTTGACTAAGTACTTTTAAATTCTACTTTAACTCATCATAAGCGCATATATGCGCGCCACCTTTCGGGACATTATAAGCGCATATGAACGTGAACACAGTTACACCATGCCCATCATTATTATACAGGTTTACTGGTCAACATTTTCCAATAGTCATCGATATAAGTTCAACCCGCTCAATAAGCGGAACCCAACTTACTTTTGAGTGTTCCGAGTCATTCTCATTCGAGAACTTGAAAGAGCTAGACGTATTTTCGAAAGCCATTATAATAGAGTCACACTGTAAAATATATACTGTTTCATTATTTAATCACCCATGTCCAAAGATCAAGTATATCCCATTTCAAATAAAATGTATCTTTTTTTTTTGTTTGTCACATTTCTTTGTTTGCACCACACTGTTTATAATTTCCTATACGTTTCAAACCACTTTTATTTTGATGCAATAGAACAGATTTTTGGTGATATGGGCCAATTTTACACTTCTTCGAATGATGCAAATGGGTTAAGGCGTTATCCACACTTCAGAGGTGTGCCCATGATCGCGGAAGTGGCTGGTACGCGAAAAGGGACCAATCCACCTGCGAGAAACCGGTTCGCTCGACGAGCTATCCAGCAAAATCAAACGGGAAAGTTGAAATAAATCTTCAGCTGGAGTAAAGTGCAGCTACTTCGGTCTCTGTGGGACCAGTATCGCGGAAAAATCAAGTACACCGGCCAACACGGAGCTCATGGAGAGACAGGTCGTCCGCGGCGAGGGAAATTCATCCGGTTGGTTGGCATGGAAGTGGCATACGTCGCGGTTTAAGAACAGGATTCTAAATGATCACGGAAATCTGTGACCTCGCGCGAGTCTCCGCTCTGCCAATAGCACCCACTTCCTCGGTTACAAATCAAGAAGAAAGGGGAATCGAGGAATCTCGAAATTGTGTCTCTGCGAAATGCTGTCTTTCTTTCCTGGAATATTCGAAACATCTCTCAAGGAAAATATCTACAGTGTTCGATCTACTCTGTTCCTACCGTATATTGTGGAACTTAACCTTTGCACGCGAAAGGTGACTTCCAGTCACCATTTCATTCGACACAGTAAAATAAAATTTGAAATTCAATACTTAATTCTTTGCACTCGAGAGGTGGACTCTCAGTCACCACGTGATTCGATGCAACGAAACTATGAAGTTGAATATTTAATATTTCAAATTAAAGTTTGCATTGCTACGTGAAATATTTAAATAAAACACCTCTGTTGCTTAATTTATCTATGAATCATCGTTAAATCAGTTTCAAACAATACGACCTATATCTCGTCAGGAAACGTTGAATATTTCCATCGAGAAACTTTCGAGTGCAAAGGGTTAATAAATAAACATTGAAATAAGACAATCCATCTGAAAATAATGAATATTTATGATAAAATATATAGTCTAGTGCAAAGGATTAACACTAATCAGTATTCACCGAAATATACAGTCGAAGCAATTCTGTCTACAACTTAGAAATCGAAAAATCAAAATCTGCATATTCTCTCAACCCTCTTATATCTTGCAGATCCAAAAATAGTGGATATCTTTCTACAAATAATTATCATCCCAAATTCAGATGGAACAACAGTAAAAATGTTAAACAAACGACGATGAAATGATTATCCCCGTGACTCATGATTCGACGTTTCAGCGTTGGTACGCCAGTTTCAGCCGCGACTGCGATCCCGATGATACTTAAATCACAGACGTCGTTAATCTTCGGTATTGGTGGCGGTCCTCATCGTGGACGAGTAATCCTATCGCAGCGGTTTACGACGATACATCATTATCCGAGCGAAAGCGGCGCTCGACGACGCCGGCGTGTATTTTGAGAACGGATTTCCGAAGGATTTCCACGGGAAACGACGTCGACGAGGGCGGCGGCCCGGGATATCAAAGATTTTCGGTCGCGCGCGGTTATCGTGGTTTCGGTTGGCTTCGTTAGCGGATCAAGATAACGTTGTTTTCGCGGCTCGAAACAAAAGCGGCCGCGCCCGCCGTTTTCCCCGATCCCCCGTTTAATCGGGAACTTGGGAGTCGTTAATCTTCATATTGGACGCCGAACGACTCGCCCCGAGATCTTGCGGCGATTGTATTCATCGTTCGATGAAGTGAGCCGAGACTGATAATACGGTGCTTTAAGGCACTGGCTATTTTGCAACTTCGAAATTGTCGTGGGAGAATCTTACGCAAATTCTTTCTTAAGTGGATTGTGTTTCAGTAATTAGAGTTATGGAAAATTTGGTGTAATCGATTAAGGACTGTTTAACTAGAACTACCGAGCATTTAATACGATTGATATGCAATTCCTATACAAATTGTAACAATAGATTATTTTCAGTTTCTTCAGGCGTTCATTATAGTACTGAAATGGAACTATTTATTTTCGAAATCGTTTCGAATATTCAATGCTTCGAAGATATCAGTAATTGCTGAACAAAATAATCGAAACCAGTCATTTTGACGAGTACGGTAGTTCTAGTGTTAATTGTAAATAATAGCTCGATTAATACAAAATAAATATTTTTGCATTGACTGCGACCCATTGTCCGACAGTTCGATGAGGATGAGGAATTTGATAAGCTCGGCGATCGCGACTTTGATTACGAACGCGCAGGTATGGTAGGTCTTCTGAATTTTTCTGAATAGGATTAGATAAACAGCATTTCGCAACTGATTAATGAATATTTACGTCGATTTTGATCCGTCTAGTTTTAAACCTCTAATTTCCAAGGTCTAAATGATCAAAAATCAATTTTTCTAGGAACAATAGAATGAACTGTATAATAAATGTCCGTAAACCCAGTGCCAAGTTCCTTGAACTCATTTGAACTGTTGGATTTGCAAATTATTGACCGGTCATTAGCCTACCTAAAAATTCAGAACTGAGAAAAGATATTAGTCCATCTATCTTCTTCGAGAACAAGAAATCACCGGAATTTATAAGAAAAATCCATTTATTTCCATATCAAGCAACGAATTTCAGATCATCTGCGTGTCACCTATTTCCCGAAACAAAGACCGCAATGTGGATGGATTGATTCGAGGCGAGGCTGACCTCGCCGTTAGATCTCGATCGATCCGCGGCCCGGAGCAATCTCGGCGGATGGTTTTGTCGCGATGAAGCCTGTCGATACGTATTCGAGAATCTTGCGGGGAACACGATACTTATCGCGAGCCAAGATGCGTCGAGCCATTAGCTCTAGTCACCATCAATGTCCGAGCACCAGCAGCAGTTCGGACGACGCCCCTTTGCTGTCCCGGTATCTGTCACTCAACGCACGGACGCTGACTGACGGTTTCCCCCTTAACTAACGCGTGTTTCTGTAATGCCCGCGCGCTCTGCGACAACGTTGCGTCACGCGTCTTCGGCGACGATCAAAGCGCAGAAATTAATTTCAACAACAACAACCGCCGCCGCATCGATTACTTTCTCCCCTATTTTTTTTTCTCGCTCCACCCCTCCGGCCGGCCGGCAGTTATCGGAGAATCAATGAGTCAGCTTCAATTGAACGGAACAGTTCAATTATGGATAGGCTACGCGGATGGAGAAGTGGAAAAACGTTTCCGACAGACTTCATTTGTCCACGCTGCTGAAGATTCTGTCGGGGCAATACACGTCGGTGCCGCTGTTGTGCGGCCGGAGTTGCTCGATATCCAGTCATGGGAAAATTAACCTGTCAGCTCACCCATTAATATGCATATGTCCTGTTGGTAGCAGGCAAGATGGCGCACTGCAACATCCGTCACCTAAGAGTACGACACACTTTGGCCAGTATACCAATTAACCTAGATCAATGATAACCTCGTAAACCCTTAAAAGCGTCGATGACCGTCGAATGCGTGCGCTGCTATCTTTCGTGAGGCGATTAGCGACTCGCCTGTATCGATTGCTTTAATTAGCGGTCGTGCGCTTACTGTGCGATGCTGGGTGCACCTAATCACTTTGGAGAAGATGGTATTTGAAACTTTTATTGTAGAAAGTTGTATTACACGTTAGAGTCATGAACACTAAAAAACGAGGTATGCACTGGTATTGTATCGTTTAAATAACGAAATGATTTGTTTGAAAATTTCTATATTAGGTTCGAAAGTTAGTTAATACGGCGACGTTCGTCCCTGAAGAGATAAATACTAGAAAACAAGAAAACTATAACTAAATATAGAAAGTTGTACTATACGTTAAAGTGATGAACACTAAAAACGAGGTATACACTGGTATTGTATCGTTTAAATAACGAAATGATTTGTTTGAAAATTTCTATATTAGGTTCGAAAGTTAGTTAATACGGTGACGTTCATCCCTGAAGAGTTAAATACTAGAAAATAAGAAAACTATAACTAAACGTAGAAAGTTGTACTATACGTTAGAGTGATGAA